AAAGGACCTGGTCTCAAATGTGGTGAAAAGTGAGGGCTGATACCAAGCTGGCCCTCTGATCGCCACACATGTCCTGTAGCAAATGTGCCCACACTCACATGGAAGTGTATGTGCGCATGTATACACACACACACACACACACACACACACACACACACACACTTCTAAAAAATAAGTAGGTAGGGCTATAAAATTATTTTTTAAATATCAAAGTACATTTTGGTGTACATTTGTGGCAAAAGATTTCAGGAAAAGTTCTTAGAATATCAACAGTGAAATCCTTACTGCTCGTTTGGCCTAGCACCTGGTACAAGCTTGGTGCTATCGGAGGCCCTGCTTCATGTTATTTGTATTTTCCACTGTGGCATGCACTGGACTATGGCTTTTATGTGAAATAAATTCCAGATGCTCCAGAAAACCAGCAGGCCATAAATATTCCCTTTGTCACCCAGTTGGCCCCAGATTTTAGAAAAAGTTACAAAAACTAAGTGGTTTGAAGACATAAATAGGTCACAGTTATTAGAAATTACCAAGTTAACCAGGACAATGATAACGACCTAGAGGAGGAGACTGGAGGCAACAACAACAGCAAAAGACTAAAAAGAAACACTGGTTAGAGGATGTACATTTAGGCCTGTTTTAGGGTATCGGGTCTGGGTAACTGGGACTGTTTCCCAACAGTCACAATAGTAAGGGCTTTCCCATCCCCAGTTTTGCAGAGCAGTTCCCCTGGGGGGCGGCAGGAAATAAAGTCAAAGCCCAGTTGTAGCAATCAGGGAATTTCTGTCAGTCTTATCTTTAAAGGGTTGGAGGTACGAGTGACAGCCAATTTTCCTGTTTCTTTTGTAGTTTCCTTTAACTGAGTGTGATGGATCCATGAGGAGATCCCGGCCACTTAGCTATAGGCTATGCCCCCATGCCCATATTACTGCAGGCCACTGGCTTAAAGTTGACCTAACTAACTGTGTATGTTGTGTTGGAGGAAATACTAGAGTCTTTTTAAAAGTAGATTTCAATTTTCCTGCTCTTACAACCTGGAAATGGGTAGAACCCGGGCAAAGGGATGCTGAGTGTGGGTGGGCCACTAGATGGTGCCAGAGAACACTCCATCTCCCCAGGGTTGTGACCTATAGCTCAGCCTTGGTACTTTCTTTCTTTTTTTAAAAAAATATTTTATTTATTATTTTTATTTTATGTGTATGAGTATTATGCCTGCATGTAGGTAAGTGCATCCATGTCATACAGTGCCCGTGGAGGACAGAAGAAGCTGTCACGGACAGTTGTTAGCTGCCGTGTGGGTGCTGGGACTCGAACCCGGGTCTTCTGCAAGAACAGTCACTATTCTTAACCGCTGAGCTATCTCTCCAGCCCCAGTACTTCTCTTTCTTATAAATAAAAATCCAGCAGTTTCTCAGCAACTGAAATGCTAACTCGCCTGATGGGCCTCATTCCCAAATGTGTTCATGGTATGTCAGGAAATTCAGAGGGTGTGAAACAAATCACACGCATTAGGATACTTTCACTGCCCTTGCAGCCTTGGATATTTGAGTTACTGCATATAGGAATATGACTCTTTTGTGTGTATGTCTTTATTTATTAACTTTAAAAAATGGAGCCCCAGTGAGCATGGAAATCTTATCTATTGAAATCCCCAGTATTCTTGAAATCTTAGGTTGTATGCTGTAGGAATGTAACCCTTTTTACAGTTTGTCAAGTACTTTACTTATAAGAGCCCCAGTGAGTATCTTTTTTTGTCTTTTTGAGACAGGGTCTCCCTGTAGCCCCAGCTGACCTGGAACTCACTATGTAGACCAGGCTGGCCTTGAACTCACAGAGATCTGCCTGCCTCTGCCTCCCAAGTGCTGGGATTAAAGGTGTGCGCCATCATGCCTGGCTTCCCAATGAATGTCTTAACTGCTGATTATATCTGGAAATCAATATGATCATTTCTGTCTTGTCCTTTATGTATTTGTTATTGTTCTTCATGCACATACATGTGTATGTATTTGATGTGCGGATGTGCTCATACCATAGCACACATGTGGAGGCCAGTGGACAACCCCATGAAGTCAGTGTTCTTCTTCCATATTTACATGAGTTCTGGAAATTAAACTCAGATCTCCAGGCTTGCATGTCAAGGGCCCCTTTCCTGTTGACCCATATTGCCAGACCCTATGTATTATCCTTTTAAAAAGAGCTTCTGGGTTTTGCAGAATGGGCTCGAAGAGCCTGGTCTGTTATCCCTACACAGTTCTAGTCTTGGAGGCTCTTCCTAAGCTGCCTTGTACACTCACATCCTCATGGGTGCCATGGAGAGCCCTCTTCCATATTGTCAGGCTGTGGTTCTTAAATACTAATTCTATCCAGTGATTCTTACATGGAGGCGGCTTGCTTCAGAGAAAACATTCTAGGACAGCCAGGAAAAAGCTACAAGGGTTTCTATGACATCCTCAAATTTCCCTAGAATGTCATTTCCTCCCATTCTGTTACTTTTTTTTTTTGAAATGAGGTCTTACGCAGTAAACTCAGGAATGCTGGGAACTTATTATATAGCCCAGGCTGGGCTCAGACTTACAGCAATCCTTTTGTATCGGCTTCCTGAGTGCTGGGATTACAGGTGTGAGCTACCATACCTGGTCTCTTAAGTGAGTTCACAGTGAAGGGGAGGGGACAGAAATCCAACTGATGGGAGGCTAGCAAAGATGTTACAGCCATTTTTAATCTATTACACATTTTGTAAAAACAAATTTGTTGCCAACGGGAATTCTGTGAGATATCACTCTCTGTCATGTTAGCTAGTCTCTCAGACATTCTAGTGCCTGGGTGCAGGAAGCTCATTTTGTTTACTCAGCCATCTTTCCCTTCCCTCTGCCCCCACATTCAGACAGCCCAGTTTATTTCCCTCACCAGTTAACCACAAAGGTGTAAGAAGTCGTGGATATTATAGCACAGAAAAAGCCAACTGAAAACAAAGTGCACGTGGCTAGAGGCTTTCTTACAAAGATTTTGAGAAATTCCTTGAGGTACATACCCTGTTTTGTGATTCCTTAACTTCTGTGATGGGATGAATTTGTTCATTTTATGTGTTTTCTAGTTGTTGCAAAATTATCATAAAGATAGCATATTTTATGTTCTGTTACTTGAGTCCTTTGCCTCATTAAAATGATATGTCATTAAAAGGTTTGTCTACTAATGCTTTTCGGTTTTATTTTAGGAAATATTCTTTATTGTATAATATTCTTTAATGTTTTTGCCTGTGGGAGAAAATGTCTAATTTCTGTTACTTAGATAATGATATTTGGTGGAGTTCTTTCTCCATTCTTGACTGGTTCATAAACTGTTTCTGGTGAGGTCATTTCTGTGCTAAATTGGAGCAATGGGAAGTAAAGGTGACTTTGGGGGTGAAGGCACATTGGGTGGGTCTTCATGCTTGCAGTATTCCCTGTTGTTTATGGAGTACTACGGATCCATCCTAAGGTCTCATGCATACTAGGCAAGCACTCCACCACTGAGCTGTATCCTCGGTGCTCTTTTTATTTTTATTTTGAGGCAGGATCTCACTAAGTTATCCAGGCTGACCTAGCACCCATTCTTGCCTTATACTTGTGATCTTCTTCCCCAACCTCGCAAGTAGCTGAGATTGTATGGGTTGCACTGGCACACCTGACTTCACGTGGAGCTTTAGGTTTGGGAATCTTGGGATTCCCAAATAGGGAATAGGTGCATGTCGGCCAGTGTGACCAAAACACTCCGAAACCCAATGATGGTGAGGATAGTAGATGGCAGCCAGGGAAGGCTCGTGCCGTGCTGTGAAGCCCTGGCTCCAGTAGACTTCATCTTTGTATGTAGAGTGTCATGATTACATAACAGGGACCCTGAATTGACCTCACTGTATATGCTATAAGTCAGAGGAAGACATGTATACTAGAAGTACTTAACTATATAAGATAGCTATATGGATGAAATCAAAAGACATCCATGTAGTCCAAGCTGTGTATGCTCCAGCTAACTAGAGGACTTCCTGACTTTCTTTACTTTTACTGTGTTCTGTAAGGGGGCTTAGGGTCCTGTGCAAAGTTGTTCTGAAAAAGAGAATCTGTTTTTGTTTATATTGTGAAGGGCAGAGGGAGGGAGATGGAGAGAGACAGAGGGTGAAGTTTATTTAGAATGTTTTACTAAAAAAATAGATATCAAACAATAACAGAATAAACCCAAATGCTATAGCTCACTTGGCAGAGTGTTTGCTTATGCATGAAAGTCTGGGTTTAGTCAGCAGCACCTTAATAAATCAGGTGTCATGGTGTACACCTATAATCCTAGTACTTGGGAAGTGGAGGCAGAAAGATCAGATGTTCAAGATCATCCTCTGCTATATAATCAGATAAGGCCAACATTGGGATACAGGAGACCGCCATCTTTAAAACACACACACACACACACACACACACACACACACACACACACACACACACACCTCCAAGCAAACCAACAAACAAAACATAAAAAACTGAAGAACTAGGGATGTAGCTGAACTGGTAGTATGCTTTGCTGCCCAGCATGTACAAAACCCTGGGTTCCATACCCAGCACCACATAAAACTGGTCATGGTGGGCACTCAGGGTAGAAGCAGGAAGATCAGAAATTCATGGTGCACCTGGAGTACATAAGATATTGTCTAAAAAAGAATGTGTTTTATTTATTTTTACATTTATGAAATCTCAAACAATTATCAGATTCCTTTATGGAAGAATAAATTTAAAAGACTAAGGGCTACTTCATACTCTGGAGCCTGTTTTTCCTGTTTTGAATTATGGCAATTTGCCCCTGAAAATAAGTTTGAAAGAATGCACATGCATAGATTGGGTAGGAAGCAGCTGCAGGCCATGCTGTGTGTTGGGGCTAAGCAGCTCTCACTAGTTTGCATTGTTGGGTTCCTGCTACTGTCCTGACAGGAAGGCTTCCAGTGTATGAAGTCTCTCAGTGTCTACATTCTTTTCTAGGAAGAGTGATCCCAGCTGGAGACCTCACTCCTGGCATGCCACCAAATTCTTCGACGGCCACCCTGAGCCAACGGCCTCTCAGTTCCCCTGTGCCGGCAGCTGTCCTTCCTGGCACAGCAGGCACCATGCCAGGTAAGAGCTCTTTCCCCGAGACCAGACACCATGTTTGATCACGTAACCTAAGCTTTCTGTGGAAATTCAGGAATTCTCATGAGCATCTTGACTCCAGAATGGTTTGAGTGTCTTTGTTGGGACAAGGCCACCCACCAGTGCTTGATTAGGGTTAGAATGAGGCTTTCACCAAGCAGGAAAGCATCTGACAATGGCAAACAAAATCAAATGGCAAGATGAAGGCAGAGTGTTTTCTCCTGTGGGTGTTTTAAGAGGAAAGCCTCAAATGTTTATTATTCTTATGGACACTGTCATGTGGGGCATCAGGTAATTGGTGGTTCTGAACCTGGCAGGATGGATTTGCATGGCACTGCTGTGAGCTCAGCTACCACCTTCTTTCCAAGGGTGTTTCCATGGATTTGCAAACAGGAGATACATACGGAAGAGAAGTGTATTTCATAAAAACTCCATGGGCTTCTGCTGTGTCTACACCCACTCCACAGCACTCTGTGGATACTAGTGACGAATATGCAGCCTGATGGAAGGAGAATAGTAACCATGGTTGCCAGGGTTTGGCCTTGAATTGTGTTTTTCTATATGCATTTTTTTTGTGTGTGTAGGGGTGTGCATCAGTGGGTATGCATGTGTGGCTGTGTGCATTTTTTGTGTGCATATGTATCTCTGTCTTTGTGTGTATACGCTGTATGTGTGTTCATGCATTCCAGTATGTGTATATGAGTGTATAAGTGTAACTTTGCACATATGTTCTTGCTTGTATGCATGCTTGTATATGTTTGAAAATGAGGTAAATATCTTTTATCTTTTGGGTGTTTTAGTTTGGTTTTGTTTTGGTTTATTTTGTTTTTAGAAGCAGGGTCTCATGTAGGTCAGACTTGTCTCAAACTCACTGTGTAGCCCAGGACTACTACAGGAGTAGGTTGGATTCCATCTTTCTATCTCTAACTGCTAAGTGCTGGGATTACAGGCATGTAGTATCTATCACATCATAGCCAGGCTTTGTATTTGTTTCTTTACAAATTTATTTTTTATTAGTTCTGTTAGTTTGCATGCAAAATACTGGTTTTCTTTATGACATTTTCATACATGTATATCATTGTACGTTGCTCAAAGTTACTGCACTCATTTCCCTCTTTTTTCTATCCCACGGGTCCCCTTCCTCCTCCCTACAATCAGTCCCTCTTCTGTGTCTATGTCATGTGTGTGTGTGTGTGTGTGTGTGCGTGCGTGTGTAAATCTAGATTCTACATATGAAAGAAAAGATGTAATACTCCCACCCCAATCTCCAGTCCTTTTCCTTCTCCTTTTTCTTTGTTTTTGAGATAGGATGTCACTATGTAGCTTGGCTGGCCTGTTAACTGCTACATAGCCCAGGCTGCCCTTCAACTAGTGGCAGTCTTACTGTCTCAGCTGCACAATAGCTGTAATTATAGGTCTGCACCACCATGCCAAGTCCCCTCAATTGGAGACTGAACCTGAGACCTCTTGCATGCTAGGCAAGTGCTTTACGAATGCTGTGTGCCCAACCTAGCAACCCCCTACTTCATGCAACCACCTCGGAACCATTGGTGCTAGTAGTAAATGCTGCTCTGATGCAAGGTTGCAGAGTATAGTACTTATGTGGTGTGAAGGAAGTGCTTCTCAAATATGGCATTACTTACTATTCAAGGCAAAGAGACTGGATGGTACTTAGAGCTCAGGGTCATTTTGAAAAGCCACAAATTGTCCACGTAGTAAAATGAAGTGACAAATGGGCCTTTGTTGCCTTACTGCAGTGACTTGAATGTAATAGGATCTCCACTTACCTGCTTAGCCAGTCTCTTCATTACAGAAACATCCAGACTGCCCCTGTCAATGTGGAAGCTGTGCTTAGTGTTGTTTATATCTCTGTGGACTTCGGTCTCTAGTGATAGATAATGGTCAGGAACTTGCTTGGGTTGTGAGGGACCTGGCCTGTCCTTATGGGAAGTGGTGTAAAGTCCAAGCAGTCCTTTGCCTCCCTCAGATGATTCAGCCAGCATGTTCTCCTGTATTTACCCTAATTGCACTTTTCTTTCTCATGTTCATTCTCCCCAAACATAACAGTCAGTTTTGTTTTGTTTTTTCCTTGCAGTGCGAGTAGTCCAGGTTTAAGAAAATCAGTTGGCATCCTGGATAAGTAGTTTTACCAGTAAAAGCCTCAGTCGCATATGTGCAGTGACTATTTTAAAGAATAGTTAATTTCTTAGTTATTACTTATTCTGTCTTAGCCACAGTCCTGACTAAGAATGTGTGGTTTGGGTGTTCGTGGATAGCCCCAGTGAGTCCAAAAGATGTAATCCATCACCTGAGCAGCAGCACATGACCTGACTGGTAAAGCCTGCTGCTGCTTGTCTCAGTCAGATACCCAGATGAGAATTTAGAGATGAACTATTTGTAACTTAATATTTGGGTTTGGAAAAGAAATGCTATCTCCGAAGTTTCTTTCTTTTTTTTATCCTCTGTGTCATCCTCTTATTTTTTTAAACAGAATATCACATAACCCTAGCTGGCCTCGAGCTCTGTATGTAAGCAAGGATGACCATGAATTTCTAAGTGCTGTGATTAGAGGTGTGCCATCACCATATCCAGTTTTATTCAGTGTTTGCTCAAGCCCAGGGCATTGCTCATACTGGGCAAAGTATTTTTCAAACTGAGATATGTCTGAAATTCTCTGAAATTTCTCTTGTAACTTAAAAATTGTTTCCATTTGATTGCTGCCTCCATGTTGATAATCCACAGTAAGAATTATTGCATACACTGGGACAGGGTCCACAAACTAGTTCCATAAAAGTCTAGGTGGTCACTGTTTTCAACCTTGTGGAGCACACAGGCTCCTCGAGTCACTCAAGGAAGGAACTCTGCTATTATAGCACAGAAAGAGTTACAATATGTGGAGAGATGGTCAGTCTGTTCCAGCAAAACTTTATGAAATTTGAATTTCTGTGTAATTATCAGAAGTAGAATGGGAAAATTCTTACTCCTTTGAATTCTTTTCCCTTGGCCATTTTAAAAGGTGCGATCCATTCTTAGCTCATGATTTTTCATTTTCCAGTCCCTGCTCTGAACCTCTGACTGACAAGAGCATGTGAATTTAGGCACTGCCTCCATAGTATAGGCATTAGATTGAGGAAATGGGTGGCATTGAAAGAGTTCTCAAGAAGGCACTCAGTAGGCAAACAGCCTTTTCAGCCTTCCCTGAGAAGGGCCCTTTCCCCGCAGTTCCCAAGCAGTCTCTGTTGGGTGTCGTCACCTTCTTCCGTGGAGGGCCAGCTGTGTTCACAAAGCTGTTGCTCTCAGTCCTTACTCTTTGCTGTCCCTTGATACTAAAGCAGACTTTCCCTTGTGCTTCTTCTCGTTATAGTTCTTCCTCCCATGACTTGTCCGGCTCATGGGAGCACACAAGCCTACAGCACACTTCCGACCACTTCAGCTCTGTGGGAAGCATAGACAGCCTGGACCATAGCTCGCAGCCCTACACATCTGGACGCCTCTCAGCCTCCAAGTCCAATAGCAGCATTGATCACCTGAGTGGCCACAACAAGCGGGACTCAGCTTATGGCTCCTTCTCCACCTGCTCCAGCACCCCTGACCACACCTTGCCCAAGGCCGATGCCTCTTCTACAGAGAACATCCTCTACAACATTAGCCTCTGGGAGGCATCTAGGCCGGGCAGCAACCGACAAGGCCAGGCTGCAAATGATCCTCAGGGCCCAGAGGATAGGCCACCATGTTTCACACCCAGGGTCCCTTGTGACAGCAGTAAAAGCTCCAGGCAAGAGGACATTGTTGAGCCCAAGATGGCCACTTCTGGGAGATCCAATTTTGGGCCTGTCTGGTATGTCCCTGACAAGAAAAAAGCCCCTTCTCCTCCCCCTCTTGCACCTCCTTTGCGTAGCGATAGCTTTACTGTGGCCAAGGGCCATGAGAAAGCCCTTGGGCCTCCATTCTCAGACTCAGCTACTGTGCAGCACTTTACTGCGTTGCCTCGAGTGCAGCCCTGTGAAGACTGGAGACCAGAGCCTGCTGATCGACAGTGGAGGCTGGCACGTACAAGCAATGGCAAAGAAACAGGAAGTTTGAGTTACCTGCCTGAGGGCCACCTGGATTGTGGTTGGTTGTGCTCTGATGATGGGACGAGTGGCCCTCCAGGGGCTTCGGGCGGGCTCCAGGCCTCCCTGTCTTACCATGGGAACCAGCACCCACGCCAGTGCAGTGAGGAGAGTCCCAGGGTCTCCACGTCACCAGAGGAGCTGCCTCGTGTGACCCTTGGTGGAGGTTGGCAAGAACCTGCGCAAGGCAAGGATGAAAGCCCTGCTCTGGTGAGATGGCCTGGTCCTGCCAACCAGAAGGTAGACAATGGTGAGCAAAGCCACTATTTCTGTGTGCCCCGCAGGCCATCCATACAGGGGACTTCCCAGGTTGTAATGCACCAAGGGGACTATTGGTATTCAGACACAACCCCTGTGACCCTCGAGTATCCTCTCAGTTGCCCGGTGGGTCAGAACATGAGGGGCTACCCACCTCAACATGAGGAGCCCTTAGCCTCTCATGACAGAGAGCGATGTCACCCACTGGATGCAGGGATTGAAGGCTGCTGCTCAGGAATCCAAGAGCCTCCCAGAGGCAGCCATGGTGAGAAAGCCAGTCTGCAGTGTACAACTGATAGCCTCAAGTGGGTGGATGGAGAAGGCAGGAGAATTTCTCACCAAAGGACACCCATGCTGCACTCTTTGACCCAGGAGGGATCACAGAGACCTGAGAATAGGCAGGACTGTGGCAATGAGAAGCTGCCACCGTTTGATGCCCAGGTGGGTAAACCTGCACGGAGGAGTGACCGATTTGCCACAACACTGAGGAACGAAATCCAGATGCGCAGAGCGAAGCTGCAGAAGAGTAAGAGCACGGTGACACTGGCTGCAGACAGCGAAGGTGAGGAAAGTGCTGGGGGATGGAGGGCTGATGTGGGAGCCACCCCAAAAGGCTCCTTCCCCAGTACCTACAAAGAGCACTTGAAGGAGGCCCAGACACGTGTCCTGAGGGCCACCTCCTTTCAGCGCCGTGATTTAGACCCCACTCCAGGGGAGCAGTATCCAGGGCCACCAGAGCACAGGACTTGGGACCACAGTGCCTCATCTTCATTGTCTTCTTTCCCTGGGGAGTCAGACTCTGTTTCCTACTTCTCTGAGGCAGGCCTGGCTAAGCCACCCTCATCTGGAGGTGGCATACCCCATGTTCTTCGAATTGGAGCCCGGAAACGGTTCACAGTGGAGCAGAAACTAAAGTCGTACTCTGAGCCAGAGAAAATGAATGAGGTAGGGCTCTCACAGGACCACAGTCCTCACCCTCATGACAGGATCCCCGAGGATACTATCGGCACATTTGCTGAGAGGTGGAAATTCTTTGAGGAAACAAGCAAATCTGTTCCCCAGCAACCAAGCCACAGACAACCTCTCTATGGGGTTCTGAGAGAGAAGGCTGAGAGACCATGGACAGGGGGTCATGGGTGTGAGGGCACTGAGTCCTGGTTCCAGAAGAGGTCACGGGCCACCTCCTGTGGAGAAATCCTCAACAGGCACAGAAAAGTGGAAAAGGCCTCAGAGAAATTGGACCCACCAAGAAGACTTGGAACCTTTGCAGAGTATCAAGCATCTTGGAAGGAACAGAGGAAGCCTCTGGAAGCCAAGAGTTCTGGACGATATCATTCAGCAGATGATATTCTTGATGTAGGTCTAGACCAACACCAGAGGCCACAGTACATCCATGAACGGTCCCGGTCATCACCATCCACAGACCACTACACACAGGTATGCAGCATGCCACAAGCTATAGCCTAGTCTGCTCTGAGTGCCACCTTGAGGCACAGGGCACACCCAACATAGATGATGGCTCAGTGAGGTGCTGGAGTGTTATTTGTGCTGTGAAAGGGATTTAGGGACAAGATTGCTTCCAGCACTACTATTTTAAGTGCCTTATTTGTGCAAACCTATGTCTCTCCCAGCCTCCTCTTTCCAGTGTCTTACTTTACTGTCTTTATATTTAATTAGCTTGTGTCTGTACTCATGCTGAGCAAAACACTCTGGGCTCCAGGCTCTAGGGACTGTAGAAAACAGTCACTTTATCTAATGAAATGAAAATGGGTGCTTTATTTAATGGTTTAACATACACTAGCCACTTACATGCTTAATTTTTATTTATGTTTATGCTGCATGTGTGCAGGTGCCTGTGAAGTCTAGACAGATCCACTGGAGCTGGAGTCACAGACAATTGTGAGCATCTCCTCATGGGTGCTGGAAACTCATCTCAGGTCCTCTGGAACTCATAACCCCCTAGGCCATCTCTCCAGCTCCCCAGTAGCCACTTTTAAAATCTTGATACTGGGTAATAAAGAAATATTTTTAAAAAGTGTGTGTGGAGGGGATGCTGCTGGAGAGATGCTCAGCAGTTAAGGACACTGGCTGTTCTTGGAGAAGAGCCAGGTTTGAATCCCAACACCCACATGGCAGCTAACAACTGTCTGTAACTCTAGTCCCAGGGGATCCGACAGCCGCTTCTGTTCTCTGCAGGCATTGCACAACACAGGTGCACTTACCTACATGCAAGCAATACACACATACACATAAAATAAAAATAATAAAATATTTTAATATTTTGATACTGGGGATAGGGCTAAAAAATTAAATTAAAAATATTGATGCCATTTGATATTTAGAGGATGCTATTTATGATTTTTTTTTTAATTTGCAAGGTTTTTTTTTTTCTTTTTGGTGGTACTAGGATTTGAACTTAGGGCCTTGCACATGCTAGACAAGCAGTCTACCATGGAGCTACACCCAGAGCCCTCTTTCTATCTTCTTTGCAATAGGTTCATCTGCAGGTGAGGCACTTTGTAACTTCTGCTTCTGTCTTCTGTGTAGCTGGGATTACATACCTGTACCATGACAGGGCCTGGCTAATTTACAAGGATTTGAAGGAATTACTCTGTGGCCAAATGCATTTAATAATGCATTAAATTCATTATTTTTTTCCTCATTGGTTGGAAACAGAACCCAGAACCTTATGATTATTAGGTTATTATCTTAGCCCTGAACTACACTATAGCCCTGGCCCCTTTTTTACTACTTTTCAATTTTTTTTTGTTTTGGATTTTTGAAATAGGGTTTTATTATATAACCTAAGCTTGCCTACAACTCATTTTGTATCCCAGGCTGGTCTCCTGCTTCTGCTTCCCAAGTACTAGAATTATAGGTATGTGCACCATGCCAGGCCCTTTTGCACTGTTTTAAGGTGACAGTTTTGGTGTTTCCGTCAACTCTGAGCTTTCCAGAAAACTACACGTTCTTATCAATCCTTTAACACCCACAGTTACCTTCCCTGTCCTACTCTCCTCTTTTCCCTCTCTCTGCATTTTCTGTCTATTTGCTCTATTGGGAAATGTACTGCTGTAATAACAAATTCATTTCCAGGGAAGATACCCAAAATGTGTGTGCACATTGCTTTTGGCATTTACTACTGAAAACCGACGTAATCACAGGAGAGCTTGTTTCTGCTGTTGGCTCTGCTCCTGCTCAGGCACAGTTTGATGTGACCTCTGAGAGCACCATGCCTTCTCAGTCAGAAGTGAAGAATCCCAGCCCCCACAAGTCCTAGAGCTTGAGGTTTTACAGGATTGACTTGTGACCAGCTGTCTTTTATTGCATTTCTTTCTGCCAGCTGTATCACATAACAGCCCTTGTGTAGGAATTCTGTTTCCTGCTTAGACTGAAGTGGATGTTGAGGGTCTTAGGCCAGTGGTCCCAGTAAAGTGCTTTGTGGAGATGAACAATTATGTCCCATGGCCAGGTCTCGGTCTGTGACAACGGGCCTCGCCACAGGCGTTGTGGGGACAGGCACACAAGGTAAACCACAAATGAAGGGTTTCATAATAATAGCTGTCTCAGGCAGGCAGGCCGCTTGATGACTCGGTGTCTCATGGTGTTGCTCTTTGCAGGAAGTGCCTGTAGAGCTGCGCAGGCAGGCGGAGAACCCTAGTGGGCTCAGAGAAGCACTTCCCGGCACAGTGCGAAGTGAGGAGGGATGCTCTGCTCTAAGGTGGGTGACTTGTGGATTCGGGGTTGCTGAAAAGCTGTGTTGGGAGTAGACAACTTGAGATGGAAAGTGAATGCTGGGTTCATACAGCAAATCTGGTTCTCGCTGCAAATTTGATGTGATTTCCACGATCCCTAAGATGCCTAAACCTAGAGCCCGCGGATCCTGCAGCCCTACCTACAGAAGCGGAGCTGTGCTGGCATTGTGGTTCTTAGCATGGCTGCTGTTTTCCTTATAGTGAAATGCTTTATGGGGACAAAATAAAAACCTGATTTCACATTTTTTGGATCAAGTACTTGACTGAATGATGCTTTTACTGTCCAGCACACAGCTGTGTTTGTGGGCCATGGTCTCAGAATTGTCAGAAAGTATGTTGGCCAACTTTACTAAATTGGGCTTATAAAAATAGAAGTCATTTGACTCCCCAGAGATAGGAAAGATCTATGACCTTAACAGTGTTGCCTGCAACGCATATATCTGTAGATCTGCTTTACAAGGGCTGGTGGGTGGATGGAAGTCAGTGTGCACCAGTCTTTCCTGAGTGAGGATTTTTCTATTGTCTTGGACATCTTGTCTGGATGGTGCAATATGCATATGAAACACTGACTTCAATGCTCAAGATTCCATTGCAGAAATACCCAGTTTAGATGTGTGCTTTCAAGAGCCTTATGTAATTGTGTTCTGTTTCACTTGGCTTTCCACAGAATATTGTGACCCTTATTCAGAAGTATCACGTATTTATGTGGCTCTGAGATGACCAGATTGATTCTGTGCCTACCTCAGAAATCCCCATAATTACTTAACAGTCTGCACATTTAAAAGGACTCACCCATGAGTAAGAAAGGCTGCTGAATAATCTGCCTACAGAATTTAGCAGTGCCTGCAGAGGACAATTAGAGCTTTATTCCTGGGGTTTCTGAGTCAGTCATGTGCCGATCACCAGCTATGGACTGTGCCTCTGCTGGGGGTGGGGAGGAAACCAACGACACATGACACTACCATGTGTAGAGAATGGACAGTTATAATGTGTGTGTGCACGAGCATGCATACATGTGTCAACAGCACTGTCAAAAGATCACAGAGACAGGAGGAAGGGAGAAGAGGCTATATGCTTTATTTATCATGGCTGTGTCCTCCAACCAACTCCACAACCACTCTGAAGAATTAGTTCCAAAAGCAGCCTACTTTTGAGTTACAAACCCAGCAATTTTCAGAATTGTCATGTGTATGCTTTTAAGAGTGGCAGGGCCAATGTAATTTTAGAATAGGAATGCAAAAAAGTCCTTTTCAGCTTTTTCCAGAGATTGTTTATGACTTTCTGAAGGCTCAGTAAGAGCCAATATATTTGAAAAATTAAATTTAAGAATAAGAAAAGTGAAAGGCAATCTATAATGCAGAGATATAAAGATACCTAGTGTCTTGCACACGTTTAAATAATGTAAGCATGTCTATATAACAGCTAAATTGCTGGTTTGACAGTTGATGGTTAGTAAGAAGCATTCATTGCATTCTGTTGAGATAACATAAGAATGTTGACATAGGATTTATTTCTATTTACTGATTGCTCATCCAAATCAAATAGAGATAACTTTTTTCTTTTTAAGAATTTTAAATTCCTCACTTTTTGAGATACGGTCTCACTGTGCACCCAGGAACTCCCTTTGTAGCACAGGCTGGCATCAAACGTGTGCTGATCCTCCTACTTCAGCCTCCTGATTGCAGGGGTGAGACATCCCTTTTGGCAAAGAACATTCTTGCGTGTATCAGGTACAAGATACCGTAGGACCTTGCCGTGTAGTAGGGAAAGTATGACAACAACTATTATAGCTGGAGGGAAAGTACATACTTGTATATGTTTTTAAAAGTTATGCAGGGCTGGGTGTGGTGTCACATGCCTGTAATCCCAGCACTCAGGAGGCTGTCACCAGGGGCTTAAAATCAGCCTAGGCTACAGTGCAAGACCCTATCTCAGAATAAACAAACAATAAAAAAATTACATAGTACATCAGAAATCAGAGGAACAGTCTGCTGGGTTATATTGAAAACAGATGGTAGGTTGTTAGCCTGGCCACAGATCCAGTGGCATTTTCTCAGTCCAGCACATCTGGTCCTGAGCAGCCCACCTCACCTGTTCCTTCCTGTCTTCTCCTTTCTGAGGGTATTTTCCTAGCAACCTCGACTGCTTTCAGAGATTCTTTACCGAATCTTCAAGGCCATGCATAACCAGCAGGGTCTGTTTCCCACAAATGTACTCTGTCACTCATTTGGGGGTCCTTTAAATGCTGGGTATCTGGTTTTCCAGGGGCTGTCATAAAAAAAATGTCCATCAGGGGCCAGTGAGATGGCTCAATGGGTAAAGGTACCTGCTGCCCATCCTGACAACCTAAGGTCTATCCCTGGAATTGGCATCTTAGGAGGAGAGAACTGGCTTTACAAGTTGTCCTCTCACCACCATGTGTGCGCTGTAGCACTTAACTGTGCACAGTGTGCTCGAACATGCACACAAATAGATAGATGTGCATGAACACACACATAAGTAGATAGATGTGATTTTTTTTAATGTCCTTCAGCCTAGACAGCTTAAATAGCAGGCATTGAGCCCTTCTCATTTCTGGAGGGTGAAAGTCCAAGCAAGGTCAGAGGTAAGGCTGATTCCTTCCAAGTCCTCTCTTATTAGTTTGTAGACTCCATTTTCTCACTGTGTCCTCATGTGCTTGCTTTTCATGTTTCTTTGTCCTCATGTCTAATTCTTATAAGGACAGCACGCAGAGTAGCTTTGAACTCATTTTTCCTTAAGCACCTCTTTAAAGAAACAGTCCTCAAGTAGATGAATGCAGACATGGGTAGATAGTTGGATGAATGGATGGGCATCTCAGTGAATGAGTAGGCAGGTGGATAGAAGAATAGATGAGTATATAGTTAAATCCATGGATGGAAAGTTGAGTACATGTGTGAATGGATGGTGGATGGATGAGTGAATGAATGGCTTGATGAAGGATGGGTAGATAGATGAATGGATGGGTGCATGGATGATAGATGGGAACATGAGTGGACTGATGGATGGAAGGATGGATGGGTTGATGAATGGACAGATGGATGGAAGGTTAGGTGGATAAATGGATGGATTGGTAGATGAATGGACAGGTACTGGCCTAATCTTCCTTCAGTCTTTGATCACGATTCCATGATATTGCAAGCTTTCTGCTGAAACTTTACTTAAGAGTTTTAGTTCGATGCTAGTAAATAAAATTGGCTTTACTTATCTGTCTGTACTTGATCTAGACCCAAGAAGACATAAGCATCTCAAAAAAAAAAAAAGAAACTGGTAGCATAGACTTGTTTTCCAGAATCATTCTTTAAACCTTGTAAGAAAGTTAACATGTCCTAGATTTGGTTGCTCCTCATACTTAAGCCTCTTCAATGAAGTTTGTGTACCAGGAGGTTCCAGGAATTGGAGCTGAGATGAGATCTAGAGATGGCCCCCACAACTGGGCTGCCACTGACACCATTTTGTTAGGACAGAGGTGAGAGAAAGAACAAGAATGTATCTTTAATCCAAGTAGAGCTACAAAAAATGAATACATAGAACAGAGAATCCTTTAGGGAAAATTTGCTCTAATATAAAATTCATTAACCAGCAAAGCAAACACAATGGACACCATATTGGATGTTTTCCTGAGAGGTGTTTTGGTGTGCAGAGATTAATGTGAAGACCAATTTCCACTTTAGAAAACCAGCTTCGGCCAAGTGGATTTTAGAAGTAACAGAGATAGGTTACCCAAGAGCTCTACCCCATGTTCATGGCTTTAGGGCAGATGTTTGTCTCTGGCCTTTAATTAGCTCAGGGGCAATTGCAACCTTCCTTTCTGAGGGGTTGTGCTAAGTAATTATGCAGCCTGTGTTGGGTAGATCAGGCTAAGAAGGTGAAACTCAAGCTTGGAAGGAGGGGCAGGGGCAGAGCTAGCATTCTATGTAGCTCCAGTCCAAGGCCCTGCAGAATCCTGAACGGAACAGTTCTTTTTGCATGTGCAGGGGTTTCTTGCAAACAGAGGCCCATCATCCCGGAAATGAGGAGCAGTAGCTCCCAGAAAATGATAGAGGCACAAGACTAACAAAGTTTATTTTTATATTATGTAGGTTCTTTTCTCATTGCTGTGACAGAATACCTGAGAAAAGCAAATTAAGGAAGGGTTTATTTTAGCTGCACTTTGAAAGTGCAGGCCATCATGTCAGGGAAATCATGGTGGCAGGAATATGAGGCAGCTGCTCATATTGGAGCTATACCCAGGAAGCAGAGAGAGACAAATGCTGGTGCTCAACTCAATTTGTCCTTTTTATTCTGTCCAGGATCCCAGCGCATAACATGGTGCTTGCCACACTTAGGTAGGCTGAGTCTTCCCACCTCAGTTAGCCCAACCTAGAAACTCTCTCACAGGCATGACCAGAAGTTTTTCTCTTAGGTGATTTGGGCTCCTGTGAAGATGACAATTATTAATGGCTATCAGAATGTCTTCATTTGATTCTTCATTTCTCCTTGTGTTTTTGCCCATGTGAACGTAGCAACCCCCAGGCAGGACAGGAGATTTCAGGTCTGTTGGTTTGATTTTGTGACTCCAGGTTATTTAAAAAGAGGAATTGTAGGGGCTGGAGAGATGGCTTAGCAGTTAAGAGCACTGACTGCTCTAGCAGAGGACCTGGGTTCGATTCCCAGCACCCACATGGCAGCTACAAACCATCCTTAACTCCAGTTCCAGGGGAATCGGACACCCTCTTCTAACCTCCATGGCATTGCACGACGGGTGCACTCACTTACATGCAGGCAATACACTCATACACATAAAATAAAAATAATTAATAAAATATTTTTAAAAAGAGGAATTGTAAGTCTGAGAATGACAGGGTTTAGAACTCAGTGGGGTGTGCGGGGGAGCAACAGCAAGGAGGCAGAGCCACGGAACACCGGTGTGGAAGAGGAGGCTTTCAAAGATGGGGTGAAAACTGTG